TTTGAACCGCTGACCTGCTGATCTAGCAGTAGCCTGCAGTGCTGCATTTAACCACTGCGCCACCTTGGCTCTTATCATATAGTTGGGCTATCCAATCTGCCACATCCCCCTCATTCATCCCGTCAGCAATGGCTGACACTGTACCTCGATCGGTCTGATATTGGTCCCCAAAATAGTCAATGTGGGGACCAAATCTGATTGAATAAATAAGCTAGCTTCTCCGGGTTCTGTCAAATGTTGCTCTGAATCGTAATGGAGGGGCTGCTGACTGGGCAGGTTGCAGAACCGGTGCCAGTGATAGGTTAGAGTTAGAGTTACAGTCCACTGGTACTGTACCCACCCCTGGCCGGGATAAAAAGTAGGGGGGATCTGGTCAGCAGAAGGCAACCTGAGGACTGGTTGGAGGGAGGGTGTTGGGTCTCGGCAGCCCAACGTTTCTCCCAGCAGTCCCGGGCTGGACTGCCCTAGTGGGCCTTGCTGTGGCACCACGCCAAGTCCTGCGAGAGCTATCATCCCAGGCCCAACAGGGGAGGCTGAGACACGATCTGCTTCGTGCTGAATAGAATGAAGCTGATGCTCTCCACTGGATGGTTACTGCTCCTGGGCCCGGGAAAGTGAACATGGGTTGAGCCAGAACCCAGCAGGGCTGACCAGTGGGAGGAGGTTGTGCAATGGTGCCCAAGCTGAGTTGGTTGAATTACTCCAGGACACCCTCTAGCGATTGGCTTGGCAACGGTGGTGGGAGACCCTACTCCCAGGAATCGCTGGGTTCAGGAGGTCTCATTGCTCTCCATTTGCAGGCCTGGCCATGCTCCGCTTTGCTTGCTCCCATCCGAGGTTCCTGCAGCATCGCCCCAATTGCCAATTCCTGAGGCAGCGTGGCCCCATAAGGAAGGATCCAGCTGAGTGACCTGGCAAGGTGCTGGCTCTTTGGGCCGGGCACCCTGTTGGTGCTCAGCTTTGGTGGCCTCTGCTGCAACCACTACAGCCTTGGGAGTAGAGGGTCTCAAGGAGCATCCAGATCCAGTCCTGGTAGCACCCTTTATAGTTGCCATCTTCTCTTCTATCTTCCCTGAGTCTTTACGCTGCCCGGCAATCAGGGCTCAGGATCCCAGACAGCGCCCAGCTAAGCAGGGAGCTGGATTAAGGTTTTAAAGGAGATTCGGGTTAATGTCAGTGTTCCAAGTAACATCCCCAATTAAGAAAGACTCCGAAGCCAACAATTCCTGAAAGTTCAGTTTTATTAAAGATGTCATATTGGCACATCTGGGAAAACCCAAATCTGAAAGCCCCCGGGTACAGGCTGAACGTCCTTGACACCCAGAGAAAAGAATGTTATTATGACTATATCCACCAATTCCTTGCAACCCCCCTCCTATTTTCCCACAGCACTAAATGAGACAGCCATGAAGATCCAAAGAAAAAGACCTCCAGGGCTCACACACCCCTTGGTTGGGAAATGTGAGAAAAAAATAGGACAGTAAATAATATTTCATTTCTAAAAGAGCATTGCATAAGAATCATGAATACTGTAGATTTTGAGAGAGAGAGAAAGGAAAGTGCCAGCATTTATGTAAAGATTGAGACAAGGTAATCCAACACTCTTCCCAACACATGGGAGGCTTTTCCTGTTTTTTTCATTTCTGTCCCAGAGCTCCTTAACCTTTTTCAAATATTTATCCTTCAAATATAGAGAGGATTTATTTGTAGCAGCGAAAGTAATATTTTAGCCATGCAGATAGATTATCCTGATTTTGCTGAGATTTTGCTGGGTTTCATTTCACCAGCACAATTCAAATATACAGGTTACAATTTTTTTAGACCTGATCCCTTTGAAGGATATTCGGTGACCAGGAGCAGATCAGGAGTGACATGTGGAGAAACCAAGATGTTACTCAGTGGTTTGTCTGGACAATCACTGGGGACTTCCCATGAGAGTGGAGAACACAACCTGTATCTCCCTGCTTCTAGTCCAGCACTGTCACCCATCCTATCCTATACCCAGAGGCCCTCGGTGCATAGAAATTGTCTTGGGAGATATGCAAACCCCATTACTAAAGAGATAATGGGAAAACATCTCACAAGTCTGCAGCATACAGATCCTATTCAGAAGAGACTCACAGAAAAACATCTCTAATTCAGAGGAGTATATGTAGGTGGGAGAAGGTACAAGGAAAATACTTGTGTCAGGGAATTGTGCAGCCGGTGTCCAAATGGAGTCAGAGACGCTGACAAGAACTTGTGGTTTTATATCAATAAATATATTTACAGCAAATAAGAGGCAAACAGGAGCATAGTAAGGTAAAATCAGGAATATCATCAGGTAAAACAGAGCACACAGGGCAAAAAGGCGGGAAACAAGGAATCTCCCCCTTTTCACTTAAAGCACCCAATCACAGTTTAGATTACCTCTGGCTGCTAGTTCTCTTTAATCTATTAGCTGTAATGGTGTGCTCCAACTCTTTACCCAACCCCCACTGTTCCAGTTATCAATGTAAACTTCTTCACGCCGCTCCAATTTATAATTGGACATCTCACAGCTGGCATCTTGCCTGCCCCCTCTGGCTGCCCCTGACCCAAGAGTTGATTGCCAAGAGTGGTTTTCTTTTTATTCCAGTTCTGCAATTTTTTTTCCTTTTTTGTATGGGAGGGAATTGGAGATGTCTGATGCATACAAGAAAATCCGCAGAAGGCTAGAAAGGTGGACAACACGTATCAATATGAGAATAAAAATAACAATTTATGTCATGATTAAAAATTAAGTGCAGAGCAAAAATAAAAAATAAAATTAATTGGAATTTCAATATACAAAGAAGAAACATTAAAACTAACACAAAAGAAATAGCAAAATACCCAACAAAATATCTCGTTACGATAACAGATACACTTACTACCTCTATGTATCAATATGAGGATAATAATAATAATGATGATGATGATGATAATAATAATAGTAATAATAATATCACCATCAGTCAAATGCAAAAAGCCGCACTGCTTGGATCTGCACGCATATTACGAAAATACATTATGACCTCCTAGGCCCCTGGGTGAGGCCCGACTAGTAATCAATGCCAAATCCGGCGAAACAACTGGCTGCTGTGATACAATTCTGCTGTTGCGAATAATAATAATAATATATGTCCATGGACCAGTCGATTGCAAAGATCTTGGACTGGATCTTGCAAACTGCAGACTTGAATTTGCTACTGGAGCAGCAGGAACAGGTCAATGGATAGATTTTGTGGGGAGGAGGAAGATCTGGTTTGGTATAGTGATGAAGACACAAGATTAGAGACAAGGAAACGCTCAGTCCCAGTCCCAGTCCCGCCTGCCAGTCCTCTCAGGCTTAAGAAACTGGAAAGAGGGAAACCTCTTCCAAAACCCTTGCCAAGGAAACTGCAAGGCCAGACATCAATTCTAACCTAAAAGCACCAAAAACAAATATAAGGGATAAATCTCAAGGGTGCTGGATGGAAAGCCATGAGTTCTCATTCAGTGTTAGGTTAAGCATGAAGAAACCTTCCATGAGCTGTGGAATATTGAGAGGCAAAAGGTGTATCTGGTAAGTAGGCAGGATGCCTGGGGGACAATTTACCCTGTAAATCACAGCATGCTACTCAGGAAACATCATTGTACACCATCTTGGATTCCTGAATGAAAAGACAATAAATAAAATACAGGTAGTCCTTGACCTAGAACAATTCATTTACTGAGTGTTCAAAGTCACAACAGCACTGAAGAAAGTGATTTAAGACCTTTTTCACACTTATGATCATTGCAGCATCCCTCTGGTCATGTGACTTACATCCGGATGCTTGACAGCTGACTCATATTTATGACAATTGCAGTGTCCTGGAGTCACGTGATCCCCTTTTCCAACCTTCTGACAAGCAAAGTCAATGGGGACTCCACTTAACAACCATGTTACTAACTCAACAACTGCAGTGATTCATTTAACAAATGTGGCAAGAAGGGTCGTAAAATGGGGCAAAACTTACTTAACCAAAATTCTCACTTAGCAACATAAATGATGGGCTCAACTATGTGTTGTAAGTTGAGGACTACCTGTATATGTTGAGGTTATTATATTTCAGCTTCCTCCATACAACAGAGCTTTGATCTGATAGCTAATAGACCCCTGTCACCATTTAAACCTTACTAGATCTGCATTAAAAATGGTAGTGTAGGGTGTTCCTATAATAAAGTTAGCCTGGTAATCAGTCAGCTATGTGCTTTGGTGGGATATTCTATTTTTCCTTTTTGTTTTTTTTTAATGCATTTTTTAAATATTTCTTCTACTATATATTGACAATTGTCCCTTCTTTCTTAGCCCCCATTTTCTAGGTCCTGCTGCATATTTTCCTTGATCTGTGACCTAATGGAGACTTCCCTGCAAACAAATTTAGACTTTACACATGGGATTTAACATTTAGCAAATATACAATTTCCACTTTCATAATAAATAAACCTTAATGCTGGGTGCTCTTGGATGCAGCCCTGGTCAGTACAAGTGAAGCTGGCTCCCCTGGAGCATCTCGCCTGATGGTGCTGCCATATCCTAAATCCTTGGGAGCCAGATTAAATAAGTCATAAAGACGTGGCGTGTAGAGAGGCTTTGATCTCCACTAAGAGACACTCCCAAGAAATTGTGTAAAAAAAAGTCATTAACTTTTAGGGCTCAGCACATAGCTAAATCTTCGTAAGTTTAAGTAACATCACATTTCACTATTTCACTTGGCTCACTTGCAAAGGTCGGTTGCTAGAAGTCAAAAACGACTTGATAGCATTTAATTAGTGAAAACATCTTGCAGACGCCTTAAGTAGAGACGGGAGAAGCGGTTCCGACCCGGGTATGGAGGTCAAGGGGACAACATCTGTGCCTAGAAAGCTGACATTACAGTAGACGGACTCTGTGGTTTCGCTTAAGGAGTTAAAACCATCGAGTCCTGTATTGCTGGAAAGGATGGGAGGAGAAAAGCACAAGGGAACTTCCTCTTCTGGATGAGAGGAGAGTATTGTGCAGAGCGGCTTTCGTGCTCTTTCCAGAGTCGAAGCAGCAGCTGGAAGGTGAGTTGAGGGCGGGTGGGAGGAGAGTCCCGGAAGCAGAGAAGCAACTGGGCTGAAGCATCTCAGCTGCTGCTGCTGTTGCAGGTTCCTTCCCTCCCCGAATTTAAGCCCACTGGTGCTGCACGCTGTGAAACTGGTGGCTGCAATTTTCCTTCTGGTGGGAAGATTGAAAAAGTCTCTTCCAAGTGAAGGTGGATTCTTTGGGGATGGCTTCCCTCCAGAGGTTGTGGGGGCTCCCATCACTGGAATGAGTTGAAACTTCTGTCCCAATCCCCTGCTCATTTCAGACAATGACTGTGCAGTCTCTTTCTAAAAGCCACCACTGATGGAGCACCTACGACTCCTGATGATAAGCTGTTCCACTGGTTAATTGTTCTCATTGTTAGGAAGTTTCTCCTAATAGGAAGTTCGAGGTTGCTTCTCTACTTGATTACTCCATCCATTGCTTCCTGTTTTGCTTTCTGGTGCTTTAGAGATGTCGTTGACGCCCTCTATATCAACTCCTCCAGTATTGGGACACTGTTCTATAGTTCAATGTTTGTTTGTTTTTTATTTCCATGTCTTGCCAATAAGTATGGTATTTCCTATCTTATCCATCTGTGTGTGGGGTGGGGGATAAAAGGTTTTGGCTGGAAGGGAAGGAGAGAGTGGGAGTGCAAGAGAAGGAGGGAGGGTTGGCTGGGAAAAAAGCGGGAAGGTAAGGATAGGAAGAGAGGCCTGGAAAAAACACGGCCTGAGAGGACAGAAAAAGGCTTAAGGGAGAAATGGAGCAAGGTAGGCCTGGGGAAAGGGAGAGGGAGTGAAGGCAATAGGGAGGATAGGAAAGGTTTCCGTGGGGCAAGCCGGAGGAAGAGAAAGAGGTAGGATAAGAGGGGCTTCTGTGGGGCAAGCCTGAGGGGGAGAAGGGGATAGGAGAGGGAAGGCTTCTGTGGGACAAACTGAGGAATCCAAGAAGGAGCAGAAGCAGTGGAAAGAAAGCCCAGCAGGTCATTCAAGATAGAGAGGGGAGGGAGAGAGGGAGGGAGGGAGAGGGGGGACAACCAGCCACATGAGTACCATCTCATCATGTGACTCATCTGCTGGGAAAAGACTGATCATCACCCCCACCACATGACCTGCCTACTGAGTGGAGACTGACCACCACTCCACTACATGACCCAGGCCAGTAGAGGTGCCTGAGTGAGGGATCAGTGTGGACCAGTGGCCATGCCAAGAGGGCCAAGAGAACCCGGACTCCCAACAGCCCTTTCGGGGGTAGCACTGCAAGTGGGGGCTCTTCTGAGATTTCCTTCTGGCCTTTCTCCACAGGGGGAGTGGTCCTATCCAGAGACTTGAGCCAAGTGAGCAAAATGAAGTCCACTATCATCACTAAGTGATGTAAGAACCAGAACTGTGAGATAGAGACAAGTTTAGCAATTGACATCCCTTGGGATGCTTGGTCAGAACAGCAAATTCTACAGGAGGTGAGGGCCTGTGTCCCATACCAGCACTCTTTTTAGAGTCTCAACATCTTTTTTTACATCGTGGCGACCAAAACTGAATGCAGTATTCCAAGTGTGGCCTTACCAAGGCATTATAAAGTGGCATTAACTTCACATGACCTTGATTCTATCCCTCTAGCCTAGAACTGTGTTGGCTTTTTTGGCAGCTGCTGCACACTGCTGGCTCATATTTAAATTGTTGCTCACTAGGACACCAAGATCCCTCTCGCAGTTGCTACTATTGAGCAAGGTACCACCTATACTGTATCTCTGCATTTCGTTTTTCTTGCCTAAATGTAGAATTTTACTTTCTTCACCATTGAATCTCATTTTGTTAGAAAGTGCCCAATGTTCAAGTTTGTCAAGATCCTTCTGTATCTTCTGTATCACAAAATTTGTAGTAATCCCAGCACTTGTACAGTGACCACACTTCAGCATTGACTGTGGTTTTGAAGGTGCAGGAAAAGGAGTTGCACCAACTTGGGTTCTGCCAATAGTTGCACATTTATGATGGCCACAGCATCCCACACTCATGATCCCCTTTGTGACCTTCCCAGCTAGCTTCTGCCAAGAAAAATTATTGGGTATACTGGCAGGAAATTGCAAATCGCTGTCATATGAAATTGCCTTTAACAACCCACAGTAATTAGGTTAACAACTACAGAGGAACAGATGTAAGTTGGTACTGTCATGTAACATCGTGCTTAATGATTGAGCTGTTTAGTGATGCAAATATCCGTTCCAATTGTAGTCAGTTAAGTGAGGACTACTTGAATGGGGATGCCACCAGAGGGTTTCTGGACAGTATTTTCTGCTGTTATTGGCAGCTGAGGACTTCCATGAGTAAAAGTGATGCTTCAAATCTTGCAGAGGCTTATAGCATCATTTCATCAGTTAAAGCCCCCACATCTCTAAATGTAGCTCAGAAGGTTTGACTCTAACCATTTTGGGACATTTTGTCAGGCTTGAAAGACATAGATTTTCTCCATGTTTATTTATTTAGTTTAGTTTTAGTCTGTCAAACATGTAAAAGATAACATAAATATGAACACAGTAAATGGGTATGAATAAATGGAGACAGTAGGACAGCGATGGTAGGCACACTGGTGCGCTTATGCATGCCCCTTACAGATCTCTTAGGAATGGGGTGAGTCAACAGTAGACAGTCTTACGTTAAAATTATGAGGGTTTGGGGAAGAAACCACAAAGTCAGGTAGTGCATTCCAGGTATTGACCACTCTGTTGCTAAAGTCGTGTTTTCTGCAATCGAGTTTGGAGTAGTTTACCTTGAGTTTATATCTATTGTTTGCTTGTGTATTATTGTGGTTGAAGCTAAAGTAGTCCTTGACAGGTAGGACATAGTAGTGGATAATTTTGTGTACGGTGCTTTGGTCAGGCCGTAGGCAGCGTAGTTCTAGGTTTTCCAAGGCCAAACTTTCAAGCCTAGTGGCATAAGGTATTCTGTTGTGAGTAGGGGAATGGAGTACTCTTCTCATGAAGTACCTCTGGACTCTCTCAATTGTATTAATATCCAATATACAGTGTGGATTCCAGGCAGATGAACTGTATTCGAGAACTGGTCTGGCAAAGGTTTTGTATGCCTTAGTTAGCAATACAATATTATTGGAGAAGAAGCTTCGCAAGATTAGTGTATAAGATGTATTAGATGTATAAGATGTATTAGGTGTAGAAGATATATACATATGTAGGTGGGTGTGTCTGTATTTCTCTCTATGCATATATTTGCAGTTTCATAACCTATCCCTAGCACTTCCATATATGTTTGATAACAACACTGCATTGCTAAGAATTTGTGATTGACTCAACTAAACAATTGAATTTGATTGAATGCCTATTTGAACATGGATCTCAGTAGTCCTCCATGGGTCAAATGAATCATAAATATGATAAGAGACTATTCAAGCATTGGAGCATGTTTGCTTTTTCATTGTAATATACTTTTTTCTTTTTCACATAATCTCTAACCATTTTATAAACAAAGTTCCACTTTTCTTTGAATCTTACAGACAAAGAGAATGACAATAAGAGAACTCGGAACAACTGTAAATAACAAGCAACGTTGCAAAGGGAAGAAAATCGAGCCAGAAATAAAAATATTTTCTATTTCCTTCAGAAAACCACACAATTCTCCTCCTCCTCCAGCAGCTGTTAGACAAAAGAGAGAAAATGAAGAAAGATTTCAAGGTGAAATAAGCAGATTATGCAGAACTCAAGGATACATTACATGAAAAGTCAAAGGAGATTATTTTTCAATCAGCAAAAAAGGGAAGTGGAGAGGAAAAGGTCAATAGTAAAGCCATGTAGATCAGACAGGAATGCAGGCCTGTCAGGAAGAAAACGGCTTGAATGAAAGCACCACTAAACAAGTCATTGTCTATATTTTTGACTTCCTCAAGAATATCAGCTGTGCAAAAGCTCCATAGATTTGCCTATTGTGGGAAAAGCACAGATCGCAAATCGCAGCTGATTATGTACTAGAGGAGCCAGAAAGGAGAAAAGCCATACAAATTAGCTGAATGTGGCAACAGCTCCCTTGTGGTTCATGGAAGCAACCACACAAGAGGGAAGCCATAAAAGTGCTCCCAATTCAGTAAATGTGTATAGTGAGAATAGCAACATGATGATACATCAGAGGACTCGCCACAGGTAGAAAACGTATGACTCTGCAGATTGTGTGAAAGTTTCAAAAGAAATTCCCAGGTCATGAGACACTAAAGGACTCAGACACAGAAAAAAACAACAACATTTGAATATCCTTTCTGTGGGGAAAGTTTCAGTGAGAAGTCCAGTCTGGTGAATCACCCAAGACACATACAGGAGTGAAACCCTTTGAATGTGCTGACTGTGCACATTCTCAATTCTATTCTGATAATACATCAGTGGATTGACTCCAGGGAGAAACTCTATGAGAGTCTAGATTGAGAGAAAAGCTTCATTAGAAATTTCCATCTCGGATACCAGAGAAAAAAATCATTCAAACGTCCTTTCGGTGGGAAAAGTTTCAGTCAGAATTCCAGCCTCGTGATACACCAGAGGACTCAATAGGAAAAAAAAATGCTTTGAATGTCCTGATTGTGGGAAAACTTTCAATTGTAATTTCAATTTGTTGATACACTAGAGCAGGATTGTCACACCTGCATTGTCACAGAAATGTTGTGATGTATCGTGACTTTTTCCCTTCACTAAAATGGACATGGGAATGGCCAGTGTGTGATGCATCCAGCCTGCAGGCTGCAAGTTTGACAACACTGGACTAGACGAATCCCAAAGGTGAAAAATCCGTTCAATGTCCTGACTGTGGGAGAAGTTCCAGTCATAATCCCAGCCTGGTAATACATCAGAGGATTCACTCCATGGAGAAAGCCTACGAGTGTCGAGTTTGTGGGAAAGCTTTCATTAGAAATTCCCACTTCATCATACACCAGAGGATTCACAAAGGAGAGAAAATCTTTGAATGTCCTATCTGTGGGAAAAGTTTTAGTCATAATTCCATGCTGGTGAGACACCAGAGGACTCACACAGGAGAGAAACCCTTTGAATGTCCTGATTGTGGGAAATGTTTCATTACAAATTCCCACCTCACGAGACACCAGCGGACTCACACAGGAGAGAAACCCTTTGAATGCCCTATCTGTGGGAAAGGTTTTAGAGATAATTTCAGCCTGATGACACACCAGAATATTCACACAGGAGAAAAACCCTTTGAATGTCCTGATTGTGGAAAAACTTACAGTCAAAATTCCCAACTCATGAACCACCAGAGGACTCACACAGGAGAGAAACCCTTTGAATGTCCAGATTGTGGGGATAGTTTCATTAGAAATTCTCACCTCATGAGACACCAGAGTACTCACACAGGAGAGAAACGCTTTGAATGTCCTCATTGTGGAAAAGGTTTCAATCAGAATTGCGAACTCATGAGACACCAGAGGACTCACACAGGAGAGAAACGCTTTGAATGTCTTGACTGTGGAAAAGGTTTTAGTCAGAATTCGCACCTCATGAATCACCAGAGAATTCACACAGGAGAAAAACCTTTTGAATGTCCTGATTGTGGAAAAGGTTTTACTCAGAATTCCCACCTCATGAACCACCAGAGGACTCACACAGGAGAGAAACCTTTTGAATGTTCTAACTGTGGAAAAGGTTTTAGTCAGAATTCCCACCTTGTGAGACACCAAAGGACTCACACAGGAGAGAAACCCTTTCAATGTTACGATTGTGGGAAAAGTTTCATTACAAATTCCCACCTCATGAGACACCAGAGGACCCACACAGGAGAGAAACCCTTTGAATGTCTGGACTGTGGGAAATGTTTCAGTGAGGATTCCTATCTTGTAATACACCAGAGGATTCACACCGGAGAGAAACCCTTTGAATGTTCAGATTGTGGGAAAAGTTTCAGTCAAAATTCTTACCTCATGAACCACCAGAGGACTCACACAGGAGAGAAACCTTTTGAATGTCCAGATTGTGGGGAAAGTTTCATTAAAAATTTCTACCTCATCAGACACCAGAGGACTCACACAGGAGACAAACCCTTTAAATGTCTTGACTGTGGAAAAGGTTTCACTCAGAATTCCCACCTCCTGAGACACCAGAGGACTCACACAGGAGACAAACCTTTTGAATGTCCTGATTGTGGGAAAAGTTTCAGTCAAAATTCCCACCTCATCAACCACCAGAATATTCACACAGGAGAGAAACCTTTTGAATGTCTTGACTGTGGGAAAAGTTTCAGTCGAAATTCCCATCTCACGTATCACCAGAATATTCACAGAAGAGAGAAAGAATAAAGTAAACTAGACTAGACCTTGGAGGACTTCTAGTCCAACCCCCTGCTTAGGCAGGAAGCCCTACATTTCAGACAAATGGATATCTAACATCTTCTTTAAAACGTCCAGTGTTGGAGTATTCACAATTTCTGGAGGCAAGTTGTTCCACTGATTAATTGTTCTAACTGTCAGGAAATTTCTCCTTAGTTCTAAATTGTTTCTCTCCTTGATTAGTTTTCACCTCTTGCTTCTTGTCCTACCCTCAGGTGCTTTGGAGAATAGCTTGACTCCCTCTTCTTTGTGGCAGTCCCTGAGATATTGGAACACTGCTATCATCTCACTCCTGATCCTTCTTTTCATCAGACTACAAATACCCAATTCCAGCAACCGTTCTTCATATGTTTTAGCCCCAGTCCTCTAATCATCTTCTCTCTGCACTCTTTCTAGAGTCACAACATTTTTTTTTAACAGCATGGTGAGCAAAACTGAATGCAGTATTCCAAGTGTGGCCTTACCAAAGCATTATAAAGTGGTATTAACACTTCACGTGATCTTGATTCTGTCCCTCTGTTTATGCAGCCTAGAACAATGTTGTTGTTTTTTGGTATTTAAATGATTGTCCGCTAGGACTACAAGATCCCTCTCACAGTTACTACTATTGGGCAAGGTGCCACGTATACTGTACCTATACATTTTGTTTTTCTTGCCTAAATGTGAACCTTACATTTTTCGCCATTGAATTTTATTTTGTTAGATAGTGTCCTATGTTCCATTCCCCATAGTGAAGATTATCAATCCGGTCACGGTGCAATTAAAATTGCCCCAACTGCCAGGGAAAATACACCCTAGCATTGCTAGATATGCTAAATGAAGAAATAAAGATGCCAGAACTAATAGCAGAAATAAAAAAAAAACCAAAAGAATAATAAAACACCAGCTCCTGATGGGTTTCCAACAGAAGTTTACAAAGAATTATAAGATACACTAGGACAAATGTTATTAGAGGTATATAATGCAGTTATAATCTGGGTACTTGAGAGACCGCCTACTGCCAATTACTTCCACTAGGCCAATAAGATCCCATAGACTAGGCCTCCTCCGAATTCCATCATCCAGCCAGTGTAGACTGGCAACTACCCGGAGGAGAGCCTTCT